CCCCCCCCCCGGAAAAAAATCCAGGGCGTGGATTTTAAAAACCGCTTTTCTTTTTTGAAAAGAGTATATAAAGTGCGCGCGGAGCAGCGGAGAGCGCCCGAGGGAGCCCAAGCCTCGCGGCACCCTCTCACTCCAAAAAAAAAGAATTCCAAAATCAGTAAAAACATCTTCCTCCCATCATGCCAGGTAAGTAGTTGTTATTATTCACGCCCATCCATTCTCCCCCAAACAAAACCCACACCTCCCATAAGCCCTCATCACACGCGCACGACGACAATAACAAAAATAAACATCCTCATCCTCATCCATCTTCCTCCTCCGACTACTACTACTAGATTTCATCATCATCGAAACCTGCTGCTGTGATTCGAACCCTTCCTCCTCCTCACTCCTCGGACTATCCCCCCCACTACTACTACTCCCCTCACTCCCCGTCCTTCCCCTCCCCGTCCCAATCGCGACCGGAAGCCCTTGGATCGCGCTCCCGGATCTCTGACCGGGGAACATGCCGTCGTTGACGGAGAAGTTGCGACAGATCATATAGGCTTTTTGGGCGGCGCCGTCTCGGGCCAAGGCTTCGGAGGAGTAGGGCACTTCGGTGGTGTATTCGCGGTTGTTGACGCGGACTTTGCAGTAGTGGCCCGAAGGCGTGCGGTAGGGTTCGTAGAGGGGGGAGGGCCATTGGCGGCGTTGGCAGACGCCTGTGCGTACAAGAGAGGTGAGTTGGGTTGAGGTGGGATATGCATTGATGTCTTGATGTGGAATTGTTGGACTTACTTGACAGGTACATTGTGTAGAACATGATGGCTCCAATTGGGAAAGCAGGAGGTTCGCGTGGCGGTAGCTATGGGACTAGTGTCGACTGTTTCCAGCGGACGGCGTCGGCAAGATGCTGAAAGCGTGGAAAAGCGTGGTCTTGTTGTTCGCTTTAATGGTTGCACAACAGAAGGTCATTCCGAGCCACGGGAAGATAATGTGATGATGAGCGGTGAGGATGTTGTTTGTGTGCTGAGACTAGAGAAGGGAAGTCTTTTATGTGAGTGGCCGAAAACATTCATTCACGATAATGGATCAGAATGTATGTGCATATATATATATATATATATATATTGCTCTGGTGATGCACCGACGACCGAGATGAAACGTGAAGAAGGAGAAGAGAGGGTGTGCCTCGGACAGGAATCGAGACGAGATGAACAGCTGCAATGGCTGTTCATCAGAAGGCTACCCGGAAGCCAGGACCCATACTTGATGTGCTGGCGTGCGTTTCGGCCAGAGGATGTTGATGATCGAGACGCGGAGAGCATGAGCTCCGCAGGTAACAAGACAATATCTGGGCGGCGCAGATCGAGATGGCCCCGGCTCCAGCTCCAGCTCCAGCTCCCGCTCCAGCTCCAGCACCAGCACAGCACGCACGACGGCGCAGAAGCGGCAAAGTCAGAGCGAGGATCATGTGCGTGTCAATGCGCCAGGTCAGGTACGGGTGCAGAAATGTGGTGAGAATGGGCAGGGCAGGGCAGGGCAGGGCAGGGCAGGGCAGGGCAGGGTAGGAATGCCGGGCAGAGCTGTGGCAATCAGAAGCGGCGGGCGAGAGAATTTCCGATGTCGTGCAGCGCTCCCTCCATGCTGGAATTGACGCGGTGTGTCGGGCCCGACAGGCAGAGTGAATGGAGGCCTCAGTGGCGGCATTAGACTATTGTCGAGACTCGAGTAGTGCCAGGCAGAGCAAAGCAGAGCAGCGGAAGCTACTGCACAGCTTGACCACGTCAACGGCGAAGATCCATGTGCATCCACGCTGTGGTGTCGAGACTCGAGAGGGCCAAGACAAGGCCGTGATGCTGTCGTGGCCAGGCCTCGCATTGATGAGGTGCGTGCGGCGTGCCAGGGCGCCATCTGCTCGTGCAACACAGACACGCGCAGAGACGGTGACCACAATGCCGGGCCGGGAACAGTCGAGTGAGAGTGAGCTGGCGGGATGGGATGGGATGTGGGGGAAGCATGGCGGTGGAGGTGGATGTGTTGTCAAGCAACGCAAAGCTCTCTTGCCCGCTGCCGCTGCAGCCACTTGGCGTCGGCGTCGGCGTCGTCAAAGCAAAGGGTCCGTCCATTTGACGACGTGGACGTGCACCCGCCAGGTTGACAGAAGGCAACTGGCAACCTCCCCAAAGCCCTGCCCTGTTAGTATTATTCTAGCCATCTGCCGTGCAGTGCAATGCAGTACACTTTGGCCCGCCCGTCACCGCGAAAGCGTAAGATGAGCAGAAAACCCGCCGCTGTGGACTTCACGTTGCACCGAGACCGCCACAACGAGAATGGCAGACCGCACATGCCATGCCATGCCATGCTGAAAATTCCCCGCCGGCCCCAGCCACATTCACTTCACTTCACACTAGTGATGGGGTCCACCAACCTGTGGATGGTGTACACGCTCTGTAATACACTATGTATACGACCCTTTTAGGCGAGCTCGTTGTGTATACACAAGGCGGAGTTATCGGATACGCTGATATCCCGCCTACAACCCGCTAAGCTGCTTAATATTGCTCGGATATCCTGGTATTCGGGTATACCCGATGTGTATCCATGGGTGTACACCAGTATAATATACGATGTACACAACCTCCATTTCTCAGGGGCTGTAAACCCACAACACTACTTCACACGGTGCATCGTCAGGCATTATGATTGACTTGCTGAGATGCATGAACTGAACTCGAAAGCTTTGTGGCATACGTTCATTGGCCGCAGCCACTTGACATGCTGCAAGGCTCGCCGCGCCAACCATTCTACATACCTTCATGCGCGTCAACGCAAGCACGCACAGCGCTCGATCGGTGCGGAGCTGCCCTTGGTCTTGCTTGGTTCAGAGGGATACACTGCAGTGCATCATTATTATTATCTTCTCGAGCCTCCCATCATTCATTCTCGAACAATGCATGCTGTCTCACCCAGCTCCCTTCGCGTAGGAGTTCTGTAGCTATCGCCGTGCTTTCGTTTCATCAACTCCAGAGCCTCCACCATTGCCGCGGCCACACACGCAATGTCATGCAAAGTCCCAAGCGGTGAGTCCCGCTTACCCATATTTAGAAGGAAGGGGAAATGATGAGAGTGCCTCGATGCGGGACTGAGGAATGCTGGTCTATACGACATCGATTCACAGCCGTCCCGTCGTATCGATATCTGTCTCGGCTAAGAAAAGAGAACTACTATATATAGAGCCCACTTTCGGTATACACATGTCATGCTGTTTAATATATCGCGCTATACGCTTAAAGGAAGGCAAATTAGCGCGTACTAGTATCTTTACTAAAAATCTACTATACTATATAGATAGATAGATAGATATTTCATTTGCCTATTATAGTGCCTTTCGGCCTATGTAGGTCGGTTTCTATATATTGTTTTAGGTAGGAAACCAACTTAGTTAGTAAAAACCTCCCTCCTATCCTATTTATAAGTGTTAATCTTCCTCGTTTCCTTATTTTCCTTCCTCTAGGGTATACTAGTATTATAGTTGTTACCCTCTAACTACCTTGCCTACTATCCTGCCCTTCTTTCCCCCTCTTCTTCCCTCCTTCTTATCTACTCCTTAGTTTCCCTTGCTAGTACGAATTGTTATATAAATCCCTATTTAATAATCTACTTTACTATCCTCTTTAGGTCTTCTTTACTCTAGATTAGCTTATCGTATTCCCTTTTTATTGCTTTTAGTCTCTAATTACTTCTGCCTTCTAACTATTAAGGGCAGACTAGTAGTATATACTTAGGGTTCTAAGATTAGTAGCTATATTAGTAAGCTCTACTTTCAATTCCTAGGACGTTTCTTCTAAATAGGTAAGATCTAAGTCTAATATATTTAGATCTGATTTAGATAGCTAGGCTTGCCTCGGCCCTATTTAGGTCCTTATAGAGCTAGTAGTTATATTAACTAAATTTGATTAGTACCTTTAGGGTTCCTAGTCTAACTTGTGTTTTGTTCTATTCCTACTCCTATAGGTATCTAGCAATTGATTCTACTAGGCTTTGTTTCTCTCTCTTTAGCTTATCTTCCTTTAGCCTTATATTTAGTCCCTAAAGCTCTTTCTCTAGTATTTCTCTTGTTAAGACTCTATATTACTCTAGGTCTTTAACTTTCTAGGGAGTTATTTATAGTCTATCTCGCCTCCTAGTCCTAATATACTAGGCTTTTATCTTGTCTAGTGCCTTTTAGATAGTCTATTAGGCTAGATATTCTATTGTCTTTGCTATATATTAGTATCTTAGTCCCTTAAAGTATTGTTTAACTAGTAGGATCCCGGATTCTATTTCTACTACCCTTATTAGTATAGTTTTATATACTCCTAGGATTTTCTTTAGGCTTTAGGTTTAGGACCTACTAACTAGTTGCTTAATCCTCTTTAGTGTTTTCTCTTAGGCTGTCTATATCTATACTCTATATAGCATTGCTAGCTTAATAATTGCTTTGTATATAACTTTAGCTTTCTCGAATATAGCCCCCTATATAGAGGCTATAAGCCTATTAATGGATTGCATATTAGTATCTGCCCTCTGCTTTGCCTTCTTTACTTATAGTCCCTAATTCAGTTTTAGATCTAGCTAGATCCCTAGTACCCTAAGCTCTGCTAATAGTTGGGTTTCAAAGCCTTAGATAGTGATTAATTGCTTTATATTATAGGTTGATTTAGCCTTACTAAAGTAGATAAGCTAGTATTTTTCTAGGGCGAATTTTGCTCTATACCTCCTTACCTATTTTTTATACTCCTAGTGCTTCTCTTCTAGGATCTTACAGTTAGTTTCTATTGTCTTAGACTAGGCTAGGATGTTTGTATTATCTATAAACCCTAATACTAATGTGTTTTTTGATTCTAGGAGTAGGAGTAGGTCTGCTATAAAGATAAGGAAGAGGATTAGGGAGAGTATTAATCCTTAGGGGATTCCCTTTTTAGTTAGCATTAGGTCTAATTTGAATTTGCCTAGAATAAGCTATATTAATCTTTCCTATAGGAAGGACTAGATAAATTAGACTATCTAGTTTGGTATAGCTTTCTATTTGAGTATATATAGGAGCCTTTTATAGGAGATATTATTAAAGGCTCCTAAGATGTTAAGGGAGAGGAGGGTTGCTACCTAGTTTTAACTATAGTGCTAGATATACTTGATCTGTTCTATAATTAGTTCTATAGCTATTAGTATTAACCTCTTCTTTCTTCCTCCTATCTAGCCTTTAGGAAGGATATTCCTTTTCTCGGTAAAGGTTATTAGCCTTTTAGCGACAATTTTTTCTAGCACCTTGCTTATTGTATTAAGTAGGGCTATTAGTCTATAGGCCTTAAGCTGTATATAGTCTTCCTTCTAGGGCTTCCTTAGTACTACTGTTAGGGACTTCCTAAATAGTCTTAGGTAGTATCTTAGTGCTAGGCTTTATAAAAAGATATTAGCTAGTGCTAGGGCTAGCCCCTTCCTATATGCTTTTAGAAGTTTATTGTAGATCTTGTCTTCTCCTAGTACTTTGTTACCTGGAATTTTCTTTAGGATCCTTTTAATAGTTTTAGGTTTAACCTAGGTATCTCTTAGTATACCTAGCAGTTGAGTCTCTTATTCTTTCTCCTTTATATCTAATAGGTCTGCTTGTACTTTTCTATAGAAGAAGTGTTAGCCTAGGGCTCTTGCTTTCCCTTCTATTATAGTCTACATTTGTCCTTATTAGTCTATAATGTCCGGGAATTGTAGTAGCATATCCTTATCCTGTTTAGGTCTCCTTACCTATTTAGCTATCCTCTATATCTCCTCTAGTTTCTTTGTAATTATTCCTATTATAGATCTCTATTCTTGTATCTTGTCTTTCTTAATCTAGATCTTCTTTTCCTAGTAGGCTTTATTGTAGTTGTCCTATACTTCCTAGGTATAGGTTTATATCTACTACCTCCTAGCCTTCCTTACTACTTTAACCTTCCTTATATACTTACTAGTCTAGTATAGCTGCTAGTATAGTAAATGTTTCTTTACTAGGGTATGCTTTCTAGCTACCTGTTTTAGGATTCCTATTAGTTCTTCTACTGCCTTATTAATATCCTCTAGCCTTAGTAGGTGCTTTATTAAGAGTTCCTCTAGTTTTAGGTCCCTTTCTAGTTCCTCCCTAATCCTGCCCTATTAGGTATCTTTCTAGTTAAGCTTCTCCTCTAGTTCCCTTTCCTAATTAGCTTAGACATTTAGCTCAATCTGCACCGGGAAGTAGTCTAATGATTCTTCTAGTTCCTAGTTGATCCTATATCTTATAATCCTGTTCCTAATCTAAGGTAATACAAAGCATAGGTCTAGTATACTGCTACTTCCTCTTGCCTCCTAAGTAATTAGTCCCTTTAGGGTAATAATCTCTATTCCTTCCCTCTCTAATATGTCAATTAGTCTTCCTACTAGGAAGTAGTAAGCTAGGGTAAAGTCTAAGCCCTAGAGGGGGTAGTAGAGGTTGAAATCCCTAAGTAGGATTTGGTAGGTATTCCCCTAGATAACTCTAGGTAGTCTTTCTAGGGTTTTTAGTTAGGTACTGCTTCTTAAGTCTAGTAGTAGGTTGTATATATAGTAGACTTAGAGTGTACCTTAGGATGTCTCTACTTAAACTAATATTAGGTCCCTATCCTCCTATAGTATAGCCTACTAGGTTTCTGTATCTATCTCCTTACTAATATAGATGCATATCCTTAGGGCTCCCTAGTTGTAGATAATTAGGTAGTATCTTAGGTCTTTAACTATTGCTAGTCTCTTTATATATAGGTTGAGCTAGGGCTCTTAGATTGCAATAATGTAATGTTCTTTTAGGTTTAGTGCTTAAAGGAAGCTCCTCTATACCTTATCTTTGCTCTTGTTAATATTGTACTATATAATGTTTAGTAATGTTGCAATGTTTATTAGATTTTATCTATATTATTTCCCTATAAGTTTTCCTTTAGTCTTCCCTTACTTTAGACTAATATTTAACTAAGCTTTATCTGCCCTGCTTCCTTTCCTATAATATTAAGGTATCTTAGTCTCCCTAGTTGCTAGTAACTCTCTTATACTAGTAAGGCCCTAAATATAAACCTATTATCTTGCCTAGACCTCTTTTATAGCACTTAGCTAGGTTGCTTCTATACCTAGCTGCCCTAGCTTATTATATATCTTTTTAGTGTATTGATTCTAGCTTCCTTTACCTTCCTAGCTGCCTATATTCTTACTAGGCATTCCTTCGCCTAAGAGGGGTGTCTTTTAGTATAGTATATATATCTTGCTTCTCCCTTATATACTTTGTATTCTTTGACCTAGTAATCCCCTATATAATAGGAGCAGGTATTGGTTGTCTTTATGCACTTAGCTGCTAAGTGTCTATAGTATTAACATTTAAAGCACTATATTATCCTATAGTTGCTTCTATATATCTCTGTTTCTAATCTTTTAAAGTCCTAGAACAACCCCTAGTCTAGCACTATATTGGCTTGCTCTACACTCCCTACCTAGATAATTAGGGAGGACTGCTTCTTAGTCTCTTCGATTTTCCTTTTAATCTATGCTACTTTTGTAATCTTTAGGCCTAGGTATATAGCTTAGTTTTGTCTCTATAGGCTCTTAATATCCTGTTCTTCCTTAAAGCTTCTTATTATACTATAGGCTATAATTATAAATTGCTATTAGGAGACCTTTACTGTTTTCCCTATCTTAGTTATCTATTCTTTTTGTGTTTCTAGCTTCTTTTTATCCTGCTCTTATACTATAAACAGCTTAATTACCCCTTTACCTTCGTTCTTAGCCCTAATTACCTCTTTAACTGTAATTCTTTCTATAATCTCTTTCCCTATAAGTCCTTAGATTTCCTTTTGCTCCTATAGGTCCGTAATATAGACTCTAACTACTGTCCTCGGGGGTTTTAGCGCCTCCTAACTAGCTACTACTACCTAGGTACGGTAGTTTAGGCTTATCTCCTATTGTTTCTTCGTAATCTTTGCTACGACTATATTAGCTACCTTTGTAATTACGTAGCTCGCCTAGTTGTAGATTGCTTTTAGTCCTCTAAGGAGTTCTAAGATTATTATCCTATATGCCCTCTTAGGGGTTCTTCTATCTTCCGCCTTTAGTACCTCCTCTGCCCTAGTATATAGTGCTTTCTATTCGTCCTCCCTTCCTTCTTAACTATCTTCCCTTCGTCTCTAATTGTTCGCTGCTATTTTTCTTACTTTAATAAGGCTCTACTATACTATATAAACTAGGTATAGAATACAATCTAATATAAAAGCCTTTCTTACCTCTATCTATTTATAACCTCCTAGTAAGCCTTAAGGTTAAAAGCTAGGTATTCTAGTACTCTCTCGTCTATTCTACTACTACGCTAGTATACTAAGAGCCTCGAAGCGACTATATAAGCTTATAGCGAAGAAAAAGGAAGCTCTCGAAGCTACTACTACTACTACTAAGAGATAGCGACGTAAAGAGCTAACTCTAGTATTAAGTAATAGTCTAAATATAGACGCCGACAAGTTACTAGATCTAACGACTTCTTAGCGCTAAGACTCTATAGAAGTAGATATCGATAAAGACTACGGCTTAGAAGAAAATAAAGACGACGAAAACGAGCGAGAGGTCTCTAAATATACTATATAGTAGAGCGTAATACTAAAAATACTATTTGCTTGCGTCTCTGTTAACTAGATACGTAAGCTAGTAAAAGAGATATATATATATATATATATAAGGGGCATATCTTACCCTATAGAATAAGGAGGACGCCGGTATAGACTGTCACACTATAGCACAAAGACATCCAGTCTTTGCTTACGTCTTCTTGCCCTTCCCCTTCTTCCTCCTACTAGCACCACTAGCACCCCCACCACTCCCCCCTTGTTGTCCCTCCGGCGCATAAGCATATCCATCCTCCACCTCCTCCCCCTGCTCCTGAAGTTCTCTAACCTTCTCCCGACTACTAATAAACATCGTCAAATCATGATTCAAATCCTGTAACTCCTTCTTCTCCTCCTTACACCTCTCCAACTCCCCCCGAACTTCTACCAAACCCTCTTCCGCAACCTTAAGCCTCTTCATCAACCCATCATTCATCGCCTTCTCACTCTGAAACTTCGACGTAATTTCTCGAGCCATTTGTTCGAATTTTGATTTCGAGGTTTCGGATTTGGAGAGTGCCTTTTCGAGGCGGGAGAGTTGGTCGCGGGATTCTGTTGCCGTTGTGAGGGATTCGGAGAGTTGGGATTGGAGGTTTGAGGCTGTTGTGGCGGCTTCTTCGGCTTTTTGGGTTGCTTTGGTGGCTTTGTCGACGGCTCGTTCGATTTGTTCTTCGAAATATTTGCGTTGGCCTTCGAGTTGGGAGGTGAGGAGATAGGTGTATTCGGCGGCCATGTTTTCCATCTTCTCGCGGGGGACTACATCGCCAGCTTCGGCGCGATAGGCTTCGTTTTCGTGGCGCTGGCGAAGCGGCATGTCGACGTATCCGGCGTGAGAGCTTTCTTCGCGTGGTGCGGGCGTCGGCGGCGGTTTGCTTTGGATCAGTCTGTGGACATAGCCATCACCAGCATAGTCCCACACATGTTGCGTTGAGATGTCCATGGCGTAGCAGTGGCTTGTCTCCTCGTAGTGAGCGAAAGCATGAGCCTGTGACGCCTTGTCAGTACCGATATCTCCACTCCTCCATGACTGTACTTTTGACATACCTCATCATAACGCCCGCAGCCAATGTTGCCACATATTAGACATATCCAGAGATTGTTGGTTCCAGCACATGAAGCACACATTGGCTCGCGTTCTTCCTCTTGGTCAGACCCAGGTCTAGGATATGGGAAGGTATAAGATGGCGCATGAGTATAGCGACACACCGGACAGCCGCTTCCACGCCACTTCTCAAGACAAGCGCAATGGAATACATGCTGGCAGAGGATCGTGAGTAGTCCGGTCGTCTCATCCATTCGCTCCAGGCAAACAGGGCATGTTGGCAGTTCCAGCAGATTTGGTGGTGGCGGCGCCATTGGTTTGCTGAGCATCCCCTTAGATACGGCATTCGCTGTGAACGGATCATGATGATTCTGCTGAAATGTAGGCAAACTCTCTTCGTCTGGGGTAATGAACTCGACACTTTTGATGAAGACCACATGGCAGTTCTCAGGCTCTGCGGCGCTGAACAAGCGTCCATTGTATGCTTTTTGCCAGTCTCGAGCCTTCTTAGGTGAGCGGAACTTCATGAGCACCATATATTTGTTGGCTCGACCTGTTCTGATCAGCCGGAAATGCGACACATCCTCTCGAGCTTGATCGCCAACAAAGCCGAGCAGATCTGAAGGCATCATCCAGCTCGGAAGGGCCAGAATGCAGAGTGTACTGCACTCATCAATGCTGAAATTGTCTGCCGATTCGCTGACCTGCGCTCGCGCCGAGCTCTGTTGTAATAGTTGTGATCCATCTTGAGCATATGACTCTTCTGAATCGCGATAGAGATGGACCACACCCCAGCCAACTTCGGTCGTCTTTGGTTCGCTCGGCAAATACAGCGCCTTCGTGTGTCCATTCAACTTGTTGCTCTTTTCCATATCTATGCTTTCGATCGCAATGCTGTCGTATCTCCAGTCTTCTGCTGCCGCAGCGTTTGTATGCTTGGTGGTGGGCACGATCCTTGAAGGGACCGAGGAAGCCTTCGTGCTCTTCAGATTGGAGTTGCGCTCGGGCAGCAATAGCGCATCGCCGTGCGAGTCTTTGCGATCGTTCTCGGGCGATAAATGATGCGGCGAGTCTGAGCGGTCCGATCTGAGAGCAGTGTCGCTGCCGCCAGCGGATGAAGGCCTTCTCTTGCTGAAGCTATAGCTACTCCACTTGCTGATACGATGTGCCGGTAAATGCGCTTTGAATATGTCCGTCCCGTTCGAAGGTAGGAAAGGTGAGGAATTGGTAAAGCTGCGCTCTTTCTCCTTCGAGTGAGGTGTTTTGCGCCTCTTAGATGCGCTTGCTGCTGGCGTTTGGTAGAGCTCGAGCTTCAAATGGAAGAAGTACGAAGACATTAGAAGAACGGATGCCGACGACCTACAGTAGCAGCGCAAGTCATATTGGTGTTGTTAGGCTGCACAGTCAGAGTGTTGTCTTTGTGACGAGGAAAAGTAGAGAGGTTCGGTCACTCCCGGCAGCAGGCGCTGGCAGTGTCGCTGAGCAAACAGTCACGGGGAGTCTTGTCACTACCCAATCAATCAGTTCATGATACGTGCGGGCGTGGTTTGTTTGTATTCTGAAAATTCGTGAAGGTGAAGATGCAGTACAAGTTCTGGGAGGCGCCGTGGAAGGCGGCTAGATCCTCGGTCGCCACCGATCTCGGCGCTCGAGTACAAACATGGATCACTTCTGCTATTCAATCAAAAATCACTCAGAACGGGGACGAGGACGAGGAACGGAATTGAAAATGGGAGAAAATTATCACAGCGTCCAAGCCGCACACGGCTGCTGTATTCGTGCTCATTTTCAATAGTGGTAGCGTCTTCTGCTGCAGGCACCGCACGCCGGCGGCCAGCCTCGCCTCAGTTCATGTCGCTCGTAATGTCATGTCGCTCAAAAGTCAGAAAGTCTCGCATCCGCATCACCTCCGCCTAATTTCCACCACGCAGACGAAGCACCAAGTGGAGCGTGCTCTCCTTCTGGATGTTGTAGTCGCTCAACGTCCGACCGTCCTCAAGCTGCTTACCGGCGAAGATGAGTCGCTGCTGGTCCGGTGGGATACCCTCCTTGTCTTGAATCTTCGACTTGACGTTGTCGATGGTATCTGATGATTCGACTTCAAGTGTGATAGTCTTGCCGGTGAGTGTCTTGACGAAAATCTGCATACCACCACGGAGACGAAGGACAAGGTGAAGTGTGGATTCCTTCTGAATGTTGTAGTCGGATAGAGTGCGACCATCCTCGAGCTGCTTTCCAGCGAAGATCAAGCGCTGCTGGTCTGGTGGGATACCCTCCTTGTCCTGAATCTTCGACTTGACATTGTCGATGGTGTCGGAAGACTCGACCTCAAGGGTGATGGTCTTGCCGGTGAGAGTCTTGACAAAGATCTGCATACCACCACGCAGACGGAGGACGAGATGGAGGGTGGACTCCTTCTGAATGTTGTAATCAGACAGGGTGCGGCCGTCCTCAAGTTGCTTGCCGGCGAAAATGAGACGCTGCTGATCCGGAGGAATGCCCTCCTTGTCCTGGATCTTGCTCTTCACATTGTCGATAGTGTCGGAGGACTCAACCTCGAGGGTGATGGTCTTGCCGGTCACTGTAAAAGAAGTCAGTATTGAGTCACGGATGGTATGGCGGCCTTTCAACCAAGTGGCAGGTGAGCGCGGGGTAGGACTTACAAGTCTTGACGAAGATCTGCATGATTGCGGCTGCTGTGTGTGTTGTTCTGATGAGTGTTTGTGATGAGAATGTGTTGTGTGGATGGAGTGTTTGCGCGTGTGGTGGTGGTTTGGTCGCGAGAGTGGGTTGTAAGAAGTTGGGTTGGTTGGAGGCAGGCGACGTTTATGAAGGGTGGCGGCACTGCCTCATGACGACGGAAACTTGGGGAAGGCGCGACGACGCACAGACCAGCACCTGCCTGGCCTGGCTGCCGAGTTCTAGCCACACCTTGTGACTCTGACAAACCACGTTTCCTTCACTTTCCAGCCCAACACACTTCACAGGCATCTGGATCTCACTCAGGTGCCGCCCGCCCGCGACATGCATCGCCCACACAGCAAACATTCTCACCTTGCTGAACAACGCAAACCGAAGACGATACTGTGATGGAGCGGCACGCGGCGTTCGCTCCGGAAGCAGCTGGCTCGCAGCTTATCGGCCGGCATGCAGCACGCTTCATGCGGAGGTATAGTCGGCAACAGCAGGAGCTCACACGGACACGGGACTCTCGCGGCTGTTCCTCGCAGTTCTCTCCAATTCGACAGCTGTATGCGATATAGCAGGGAATTTTTCAACCAACATGGCCAGACCTGAGTTTAGAAGTGTTCCTGGTTGCCATGGAATGATGTCATGGTTTATCGGCGTCATTCGAGCATGGGAGAGAATATATCAGTTCCTGCAACGGCGGTGAACAGTTCGCGCGATATAGCTTGACCTGCTCAAGGTGGTGAAGATCGGCAAACTGCTCCTGCTCCTGCTCCCGATATCATTTCAAGGCAGCATACAGTCACGAGGTGGGCTGTTCCTTTTCACGGACTGTGTGTGGTATCTGAACATAAATTTCTGAATTTCCTTGCTATTTAATAATAGTCGGCTCTGCTTCACGCGGATATTTATGAGACTCTGTTTTCAGATTCTGCCGAAATGGTATGCACGATCCGTCTTGGCGGGTGTCGGTGTCGTGTGGTGACATTTGATGCTGTGCCGTCTCATCGCCGAGCCATCAGCTCTATGAATGATCTCGTCGCTTCATAACAATCCAATTTGAATCCGAATTCCAGATCCGATCACCTCTACCATGGTTTCCGCCCAAAGACCACCGGCATTGGAAAGTAGGCATGAATCTTCTTATTCCGGAAGTCAGCCGCAATTTTCGCCACGAAAACATCCACTTCGGATTTCTGCCATCCCAAAGCTCGAGTGAGAAGTGCCATACAGAAAGCCTCGAGCCCGTCAATGATGTTGACTTGGTTCCAGCGACCAAGATCCTTCATGAAAGGATCTTTGGGCCAGGAGTTTGACGGCCACATGAACATCCTCGTCTGAATGTCGACGAAGCCTGCTTGTCTCATCCACTCCTCGAAATGGGGATACACATCAGACCCCAGAGGACGACCGATTTTGCGTCCAGCTTCGCAGAGCAGTTCTCCCCATCGGTACATTTCTGTGCCGATGTGAGTTCCGTCTGCGGATTTGACGGGAAGTCCGTAGTCTTGTAGTTCCAGCCAGCCTCCAGGTTCAAGGTTCTCGAATGATTGTCTTATGAACGCCGGCCAGTCGGCGAAACAGCCAGACAGGAGTCGGGCGTGGATGAAGTCGAACTTCTCCTGGTACAGCCACACATCTTCAGCATCGTCGACAACGAACTTGACGTTAGGAGGCACCCTGGGTGTGTCAGTAAGCATATTCCAAGGGGTAGTGCTCGTTGATACTTACATCGTAGGCTGATTAGGACTCAAGTCTATGCCGGTCACCTCGCACTCGGGAAATTCGTCGGCAAAGTCAATGGCCCAAATGCCAGTGCCTGTGCCGACATCTAGACATCGCTTCGGATCGCTGAGAGGCGCAAAGAACAATTTGTTGGCGTAAGTGATCCTCAGCAAATGGTGCTGCAAGTCAAGACGGTCCGCTTCACGCTGCTCGGATAGTTAGGGAATTTCAAGAGTGTTCGATGAAGATTGCCCGCTTACCTCGTCGTTCGGGAAGATGTATTTGCCGTCCTTGTAAGCTGGAAATATGTCAGATCGCGCTTACTTCAATGCTGTCATCAAGGAAAAGTATACCATGATAGGTGCGGCCGTGTTCCTTTCGATAGTTGAAGATTGATTCACTTAGACTCGTTGTTCTACTAGAGCTGTACAGTGTTAGCCAAACGTGTTCTGGACAGAAGTTTCGAAAGACCTTACGCATCGGATCCAAGTGCAGAGTCACTATCAAGTTCCTACAAAGTACAGTGTCAGGCACGAGAGCTCTAGACAAGACGGCGATCAGCACAACGTACGTCAGGCTCCAATTGCTGCTCCTCGGCATTCTGGCCGTCAAGATTCACAGGCTGCGGCGCTGCGTGGCTCATCGGTACGTGATCATGGCTGGGTGGTAATGAGGGTGCCGTCAAAGGACTCTCACGCGCAGATGCAGGCGCGACAGCGGTATTGGTGGCGGTGGCGGTCTCGGAAGAATGATTGTGAGAGGGCCATGTACTGCTCTGCTCGTGGAGATGGTCCGATGGAGGTGCGGAGTCTGGTGCAGTGATGCTTGTCAAATAGTCGCGATGGTCCTGCAGACGCGATGCCAACGCGCGTTCGATTTCGAGAAGCTCGTCTGGAGGGGCGGGTGGTGTTGTGCTGTTGTTTGCGGCGTCATTGGCATTCTTCGCGCCAAGCATGGTGAAGGTTCACCAGCCTTCGATGGACCGAGGACTAGTTCTACGCCAACTCTTTTCTCTCAGGCACAGTATCAGCCCGATATCAAGTTTCAAGCCTCCTCACACGTGGTGCGGCTGTGTGGTGGTGGATGTTGGGAGAATTGCAAGACGTGCTCAAACTGTGCGACCTTGGCTGCTGCTCTGGTGTGGTAGCCACTACTGCGCGTTCCCAACTTCCAACTTCCACCGGAGACCTGCGATTTCAGCCGGGCGACGGCGACGGCGACGGCGGCGACGACGACGACGATGGCCACGACACAGACACAGCAATGGATCGCTTGGGATTCTGGCACGGCACAGCAAAGACACTCCTTCGCCGCAGAGGTATCGCTCTACACTGTACCGCTTGCGACACCCGTTCTTCTAATCTACCTGCTCTCTATGCATCATGGGTGGCTCTGAAACCTTCAAGCACAGAACTAACTTCTCGGCCCACTCTCCCCGCCCTCCCTCGTCGGAGCCTCCCAGCTCTAAAAGCTGGACCTCATCGCGTCAAGCTCGCATTGCACGACTTCATCCAGTAGTGCGCGATGCAACACTACCAGCATGCCACCGCCATGCACCATTCTGTTATCTGCCGGGGGGGTGGGGGGGCCTGCTCATTAGAATACGGAGTAGCGCCAGCGGCGAAAGTCATCACCACGCGAGCGTGCAAGGGCCTGCCGCCTGCGAACAGTGCGAAGGAAGCAGAGAACGCTCGGAGCTTCAGCGTGCAAGGGCCTGCGAAGGAAGCCGTCATTCCCGCCCGCCGTTTGAGAATCGGCGGCCGCCCGCCGCTCGCAGCTGTGCCTGCCGTTCCTCAATCGAGAGACGGTGCTGCCTCCACGCTGCAATGTTCGGCACGGGCGGCGGTGGTGGTGCAGTGTTCGCAGAGGAGAAGCCCTCGCGTGCGCAGTCACCGCAGTAACTTTGTGCCTACAGCACAGCGCACTGAGTGCGGTACCGGTGCGCGCATCAGCCGTGAGTCGCGCCTGGATCTTTGATTCATCAGCGTTGCAAGCGCCGTGGCGATTTGGCACTTGACGTGCACAAGGGTAGCTCTGTTGAGCCTCCAAACTGTCATTCACTTGTCCCTCATTCGCCATTGCCCCTACTTAGGCAATGCCTGCGCCTTTTCCATGCTGATCGAGCACGTCGACCGGCTGCGACGATATTCCCAATCGAGATTCATTACCACATCAGGCAGCAAGCCGTATGCTGCCACTACACCACATTTGATCGAACGCCGTATCGCTACAATCTCGCTTCAGCAGCAGCATATGAGGCAACACAAGGCGACTAACTAGCAAACTTCTCAGTCCCGACGACTCGGTCCCTGACAAGCAGGTCTTATACACCCGTGCTGCACGCCGCCCGAACTGCTGGAGAATCCTGTACTTCCTAAAGGACCACGCAACGCCCTTGACGCCCAACACTCCCGGCAGCATGGTTGCTGCGGCTTTCTTGCCTCTATTTGCAATTGTGCTGCTTCTCATTGCTCGCAAGATCCGGCAATTTTATGCTCTCAACCACTTTGCCGGCCACTGGTCGTCCGGCTGGTCGAGATTGTGGCTTCTCAGGACGCAAAGCAGCGGGCGAATGAACAAGATATTTACCGAGCTCAACAACAAGTATGGTGAGTCGACGAGCTTCCTTCGTGATCATGAAACTTCCTATCTGGGTACAGCGAAGCTCTCAGGGTCGCACAAGATCCGATTGATCGATCGCGTTACACAAAAGTCTTTCTCGTAATACCAACATTTGCTATGATTTGGCCTCCAACCCATGCTGCCATGAGCTTCATGCTTGACGTGCATCGCTTCCCAAAGCCACAGTCTATGCAAATGCCCCTACTCTTGGGATGGCAGCTCACACCCTAGGCAGGTTCAACGGCTCGCATTGGACCTGGCATGCTGATAACGACCGACCCCGAACTGATGCGGCGTATGAATGCCGTAAGATCCACATTCACGAGAGGCCCATGGTATGCAGCTCTCAAGCTACATCCCGAACGTGAGAACATCACCTCGTACATCGATGAGCGCAAGCATGCGGACATCCGGAGTCGCATGGCCCCTGGCTACTCCGGCCGAGAGAACCATCATCTTGAGGAAGAGGTCGACGATAGATTGATGAAAATGCACACTCTAATCAACGACAAGTACCTGACCCGTCCAGACGAGGGTGTCTACAAGACATTAGATCTCAGTCGAGTAACTTCCTTCTTCACACTGGATGTGATCTCGCAAATAGCATTTGGTCAAGCATTCGGCTTTCTGGACCACGACGACGATCCTTTCGGTTATCTCAAGAACCTGTCAGAATTTCTTCCCGCAATTCTCGTCTTCGGCACCTACACAGAGCTGACCAACATCCTACAACTACCACTCCTCAAAGCCGCCCTTCCCAAGAACACGGACAAGCGCGGTCTCGGGCGCGTGATGGGCTTTGCCGCCGAACGGGTGCGTGAACGTTTTGGCAGCAAGCCTGTTGTGCGACGCGATATGCTCGGAGCCTTCATCAACAAGGGTCTCACGCAGGATGAACTGGAATCTGAAACCCTCACCCAAATCACCGCCGGCTCAGACTCAACCGCAAGCTCTCTCCGCGTGACCCTACATTTCATCTCAACCTCACCTCCAATTCTCCATCGCCTACTATCCGAAGCCAAAGCTGGAATCTCCGCAGGCAAAATCTCTAGACCCATCATCAAAGACTCCGAAGCAAGAAAATGGCCCTACCTCCAAGCCTGCATCAAAGAAGGGCTTCGCATGTACCCACCCGTCACCGGCTTACTGGCGAAACGCGTCCCCGATGACGGTACCGTAATCGAGGTCGACGGTGTCGAAAAATTCGCTCCGGGTGGAACGCAAATCGGTTGGAATAGTTGGGGCATGATGCGACACCAAACCATTTTCGGACCTGATGTTGAAATTTTTCGACCTGAACGCTGGCTTCCTCGTGATGAAAGCGAGCTTGAAAAACAGCGGATTCAGACTATGACTGAGACTGTCAGTTTATGTTTTGGGTATGGCAGGTTTGGATGTCTTGGGAGAGGGGTTGCGACGATGGAGTTGAATAAGGCTATTATTGAGGTATGTTAACTTACTTATGGGCCTCCAGCGGAAAGATTTGCCAGCTGATATATATGACAGACGCTCCTGCGCTTTAATCTCCAACCTTGCAGTCTCGCGAAACCTTTTGATGAATCGGTCGTGGGGTTTTATGTTCATGAGAATATGAATTTTGTGGCTACGGAGCGGAAAGATTTGGGTGAGGGGGGAGGTGAGGTGGTGTTTGAAGGGGAGGTTGATGCGGGGGCTATTGCTGGGGCTTATGAGGAATGATATTACCTGATCTTGTTGGGAAGTCTTGGGGAAGGCAATCGAATGGGCGGGCGGTGCTCAGGTATGGAATGTGCCAGGTGAGCCAGCACTTCTGTGGAAGTTGAGGATTTGGGGATGTCTGGAATCATCTACCTTGTGATATGCGACTCTCGCTGATTCATCTATCTAATCTATGCAAGAATTCGGTCATACTATAATCAATCCTTCGCACCGCAAACCACCCGGCTCGACCATCTCCCGCTGCAAAATCACAGTCTATAGTAGCACGGATCTCATCGCAAGCTGTTGTTCCACATGTTTCCGTCGTTCCTGGTTCTCCTCTATACCGATCCACCTCATCCTGCTCCAAGTACCCCCACCTTGACATGATCCGTACCGTATCCTCCTCCAAGCTTCTACAAATTTCGCGAAAAAAAACTTGTCGAAAATTTTTCCTTTCTCTCCTTGTCTTTAGTTTTTATCGAAAAAGTTCAAACCATCACGTACATGTATGTATATATCCAGCCAGTGTCAGGTCTATCGGAATCAATTGAAGCATTTGAAGTTATCGAGACTGGGCAGAGGAACTTGCTACAAATGGGCTACCGATTGCATCGTTCCGATCTTTGCGATGAGAGAGAATCTTCCCAGAACATGTCCGTGCTGGACTGTCGGCTTTCATTTGATTATTCGCGAGGAAGTTAGGCCTAGAAATTTTCTGCTCGTTCATCAAGATCTTGGGCACGTTGGACAAGCCATTCTGCTGTGAGCTGATCTTGCGGCGTTCCGGTAAGGCCGGAAATTTGCTCGAGCTGGCTCGGCATATGGAGCGCCTGATACTCGAGCCATTGTGTCTAGGTGATGGTGTCGATGTAGTGGTATCCGCTACATGAGTCGCAAGGGAAGAGGCCTGTTGCTTGTGGTTCGGATTCTGGAATCTTCTGTGCTGTCGCCATAGATATAAGCACTTTGTTTGATGGATTTTCAAGTACTGTATGAATTCCTCTTCGAATGGGACAGATGAACTTCGACATCGTTGACATGCTCAGCTTCGAGAGGTCACATGTCGTTCTCCTCGCCGGTGACTGCCAGGATGATGCATCTCCATCATCAGAATTGATTGGCTAGATCCTCGAATCTTGAGAGGCAAACAGCTCTCTGTGAGACTCCGTCTATGGCCCAGAAGCATCGGGGTACCGATAACTGGTTTTTGGTGTTTCTCGTTTGGTGCCTTTCAAGAGACTAACGCTCGTGAGAACATTCAGAGTACATCACTTGCATACACTTCGAATTGCTACGGGGAACATGTGCCTGGAATGTGGTGGCTCGGTGGGGTGGTTCAGAGGGAAGAGATGATGCGATGCGATGCGATGTGAGGAAGGAGGTCCGGATTAAAGTATCGCCGAACGCCGAGCTCTGCTTCCGTTCTCACTTACCTTTGGCTTCTTCCATCTCCATAACAATTAAATAAAACGTCCACCGCATGATCTTACCTGTCCTCGATTTGCCGGCGGGAGCTGTTCGCTCCCAGAATTGCGACACAGATGCCTGATCGCTCGCAGGCAGGCGAAGCTCGGTCGTCCACGCATCAAAAGGGCGAGCAGCAATAGCGAGGCAGACAGCATGAAAGACGAAAGAAAGGGTGCGGACGGGCGAAGGCTGGCCAATATTTGGTGAGAAGGCAGCCACGAACAAAGAGCATCAAACTGCCCAGGCCGTGGCGCGTGCGAAGCGAACTTGTGCACCATACCATCTCGAGCGATACGACACCGACATCTTTTGTCATCACTGACTGATGCTATGCTGCTCACGCATTCAGCCGGGTCGAGGTTGGGAAAAGAGCGGAAGGGGTTGCTGCTACGGAGCAGCTGCGTACGTTACAATCTCATCCCAGAATATTCTTATCGCCATGTCGGTGCCGGCGTTGCTTGCACCAACGCACGTTTCTGGGAGATGACCTAAAGAAGACAGTCAAAGCGCTCTTCTCGTTGTCTTACTCGAAAATTTCATGCCTACGGGTTCAGTATCTCAATGAAGAACTTGGTGTCTGCGAAGGAAGAAGCGCTCTGCGATGCATGGATCGAAATATTCCGCATCCTCGCAAGCTCTTTGCTGTTCGCCTCAACTTCTTCGATGAAAGCAAGCTTGCACGCACATGTTTCACGCTCTTTCAACGCCATCTTCTCCTTCTTGATCTTATGATTGTTCACAGTGCTCGCCAAAGTTGCTATGCTCAAGTGCAATCTATAGCTCTGCACGCTGGCGGTGCCCGTCTCGTCTCGGGCTTGCTCGTATGGTGACGACGTGTTGACTCGCTTAATATGGTCTCGACCGCTGCAGGTTCAAATTGTTTTTGTGGCTTGCGAACCGAGTTTTGCCGGACCTGGCTCCGAGTGAGTAAGGAGTGACAAAGGAGCCCCTGTCCACTGGCTGCAGGCAATTCGCCGCGAGCTTACCGCTTAAGGACGCGGCTCTGCGGCGGTGGTGACGTCCAAGTGCGAGCTCGCCACCACTGCACTGCTCATGGTGATGGCACATTGACGTGTGAACCTCCTCAATAAGCAGTAAGCGTTATGCTCTGCGTGTGAAACAGTAAGCGTTATGCTTGACGTACTCGAGCTCGTCGGCACCTATATCCTCCACACCTTCTGCCCTTCCTTCCAACACACTCTCACGCAATCCCGAAAACAAGATGGCACCATCAACACAAGCATCCGCCGACGCCGCCCTCCCTGGCGACATTCACCGCGACTACAGCGACGACAAGACTGCTTCATCTGAAGATACCCTTTATTGCACCAGCAATGGCGTTCCAATGCCACACCCATATGAGGCTCAGCGAGTAGGAGAGAACGGTCCCCTCCTTCTGCAAGACTTCCACTTGATCGACCTGCTCTCTCACTTCGACCGCGAGCGCATTCCAGAGCGTGTTGTGCACGCCAAGGGTGGAGGGGCTCATGGATACTACGTCACCACGAATCCAATGGACGACCTGTGCCAGGCCGATATCTTCAAGGCCGGCAAGAAGTGTCCTATTACTGTCCGATTTTCCACTGTTGGAGGCGAGTCTGGATCTCACGACTGTGCTCGCGATCCACGAGGATTCTCCGTAAAGTTCAGGACTGAGGAGGGTAACTGGGATATGGTGGCAAACAACACGCCGGTATTCTTCTTGCGTGATCCTGCCAAATTCCCTCACTTCATCCACACCCAGAAGCGTGACCCATCATCGCATCTGACCCATGCCGACGACTCGACCATGTTCTGGGACTATTTCAGCCAGAACCCAGAATCCGTGCACCAGGTCCTCATCCTCATGGGTGATCGTGGCATTCCAGATGGGTGGCGCAAGATGCATGGCTACTCTGGACACACCTTCAAGTTGGTCAACAAGAACGGCGATTGGGTCTATGGACAAATGCACATGAAGAGCAAGCAGGGCACTGGCTTCATCACCCAAGCAGACTCTGCCAATTACTCGCCCGACTATGCTCAGAAAGATCTCTACAATGCTATCGAGCGTGGCGACTACCCAGGCTGGGACGTCATGTGGCAGATCATGACTGCCAAGGAAGCCGAAGATCTCTGGGAGACCGAGAAGATCAACGTCTTCGATCTTACACATGTCTGGCCCCAGAAGAAGTTCCCCCTCCGAAAGGTGGGAGAGTTCTACCTGAACGAGAACGTCAAGAACTATTTCGCAGAGATTGAGCAGATCGCTTTCAACCCAAGCCATCTGCCACCAGGCATTGAGCCATCTGCCGACCCAGTCCTGCAGTCTAGACTGTTCTCATACCCAGACACTCACCGTCACCGTGTTGGTGTCAACTACCAGCAGTTACCAGTCAACCAGCCACGCGTGCCATACCGCATTGCGAACTTCCAGCGAGATGGCACCATGTCTTTCTACAACCAAGGCTCACGCCCAGCATACCTCAGCTCCATCTCGCCCGTCAACTTCCGAGAGCGAAGCGTTGACCTTGACAAGACACATGGTCACTTCCAGGGTAACGCTATTACTTTCCTCTCCGAGATCCGTCCCGAGGACTTCAACGCTCCTCGCGCACTATGGGAGAAGGTCTTCGACGATGGTGCCAAGGCACGCTTCATCGAGAATGTATCCGGACACATGCAAAATTGCCACAAAGAAGAGATCATCAAGCGACAAATTTCCATCTTCCGTGAGGTTTCTGACGACCTTGCCAGCCGCCTCGAGAAGGCCACAGGCGTGAAGGGTTACGATGGCATTTCCGGCTTGCAGTTCAACGGCACCCACAACGGAATGGCAAAGGACGCCAAGCTCCGCGTTGCGAATGGAATGTCTGCGAATGGTGTTAGCCCGTCTGTGGGTAATAATGGTGCTCCAACTCACGGAACACACCGCGAGATTAATGGCATTCAGGCAAAGGTTCATTGAATCGAGAACTGATGTAAGCATGAAGCATGACGACTTGATGAAAAGCTGGGCCTGAAATAAAAGCCATTGTAAATATAGCAAATGCATATTTCAATCTCTCAGGTCATGCTGATACTGTACCTTGCGATACTCGATGCTCAGCTCCCTCACCCTCACCGGCATTTTCCAGCACTTCGTATTACTTCCTATACGTATCGGCTTTGTCTACAGATGTGACACCGACACAACCACGCTCTGACCGGAATTCCACTGCTCTTTTCATCAAGCATCTCGGCTAAGCATCTCGGCTAAGCAAATTGGTATAGACGGTCACGCATCGCCGAGCTTCACCGTTGCAAAACCCAGCAGAATGTGGCGCCTGCAGCCAACAAGACTATCGCCCGCACTGCAAACGCCTTTCGAGGTCTAGGTCGCGTGCTTGTTTTCCTCCCATGCGACGTTGTGAGGATGAACATCACAAGTATCCAGCGCCTTCCACCGATGGCTGGACTTGCAGTTGAGAATTCTTATCACTGGACCATGCCTTGAGGAGGACAGGATCATGAAACAGACTTCGGAAACATCATTTACCTACCGCCCGGCCTCAGCTTTTCTTCGTGGAAGAAGCTGGAGTGAAAGGCGCTCAACGTAGCAAGCAATCACGAGCACATGTTGCAAGAGTCAATAGACAGCGGCAGAAACTTAAGAATCAGGGTGCAACGGGGACAGGAAGCTCATGTAATCCATCATCCGCCACATCACCTCCTGCAACTGCGACCTCGTCTCGGAAGAAGTCGAATGCTCCTCGAAATGGCAAGGACGATGCGAACAGCGCGGAGGGAGGATCCGATATTTCCATGACCATTGCTCGACGAAATCATTCTTCTACGTTTATGCCAAAGACAATAGCACCAGTCTTCGGGGGAGTCAGCATCAATGCTTTCAATCAGCATCAGTCCACCGACGCAGCAGATATGGCTACGTACTGCTTCATCATGCAAGGCGACATCATGGATTCCTGGCTCGAACTACGCTACAAGCCAATATGGTGGGCGGCATTCTTCCAGCATCCTCTGGTCTATCATTCTCTAAGCTTTTCCTGTGGTGTGCTCCAAGACGTGATGAGCGGGAGACCCATTCAGGAGTCTAGAATGTTTCATCATCTTCGAACGATTCAGTTGGTCAATATTCTACGCAACTTGACACGCTGGACACAGTCGACATCGAGCCAATTCTACTGGCGATGCTAACGCTGTGAAGAGTGAACATCGACACCACCACAGTTCGCAAGGAGGTGCCACTTTTATTCTCGCCACATACGCGAGGACAGAAGTGGGTTCTTACAGCAGGGAACTTGGGAAGAGACGGGTCGCATGCTGTCGCTTTGCAGCACCTGGTGCAGCGAAATGGAGGATTATCAAATTTCAAGACCTTGGACGGAGCTCCATACACACTATCCGAGGCTTCCGCTTAAGTACTGCCGCCTCCTCTACGAGGAGGTGGAAAGCTACCTTATAATCTCGACATTTTCAACAAGTTACATTATAATATTATTACAACACTAACAACACTATTATATCGCGTTCCTAATCAATTTAGTGTATACTTATTATATTTCTAACAATGCTACGAGTCCGTAATACTATATCTACGCGTATACGCCGCCCTATTACGAAACTAACGCCCTACGCGCACGAAGAGAACAGAATTCAGGCTGTTCTTAACAAGATCTTATCCTTCTACTACGAATACGACGATTATATACCTAATATTAAGCAATAGTCTACCGACGAGTATATAGACTATTAGAAGCTTCGCTTCCGATATCTTAGCGCTATAGGTCGTCGTAGCGGCCGTAGTACGCTTACTAAACGACAACCTCCGAATTTAAAGATAAAGCCTGCTTAGTAAACAGCCCTCCTCGAATACTATTATAGGCGCGAGCTTATAGGTCTAGATATACCTATACGTATACTATATATTATTACTAATAATATACTTCTTCGTAATACGCTAGATCTACTTAATCTACCTACGGTAGATAGGCGCTAGTCTAAGAGGTTTATAAAGGAATATAGGCTTTACTAGGTGCTATAGAAGCCTATTAAGATAGCACGCAAGGAGGTATATAAACCTAACCGGATAAGACGATAGTATATACGGTTACAAGCGACAATGCTATATTATAACATTACTAATCTACGGCATATCTAGAACTTCGATAAGACAAGCTTCTATATTAGAATTAGAGGCAAGGAATATATAGTTACTATAGACCTAAAGCGTCGTTCTTAGTTAGCCTCTAAGACTAATAGAAAGCATATAACTTTAGTTGAATTAGTTAATGCTATAGGCAATTATATACTACTAATGCTTATCGCTACTAGTAAGGTACTACAAGAACGGTATTTTACTAAGCTGTCTAGTTCTATACTAGTTAATGTAATAGAGAGCGGCTATATAAACGACAACTCGGCCTATTACTATATCTAGCACTTCTATAAGTACTCGAAACGTTATATAGTTAATAAGGACTAGTAGCGCATACTAATATGCGACAATTATAGCTCTTACGACTTCTAGGAGTTCCTAGAATTTGTATAGTCTTATAAGATAGTAGTCTTCGGTCTACTAGCTTATATATTATACTTCCTTTAACTACTAGATATAGTACTATTCTAGCCCTTTAAACACTACTATAGGTAGGCTATTGAAGGACGGAAACTAACACTACTACTACTACTTGTAGCAATAGTACAGGCTACCGAGGGTAACATAACCTATAGCAATATAGGCAGCTATGTTTAGCAAGATAGGATAACGAGACTATCGCTTAGGCTAATAACTAGAGCCCTGCAATATAGGCATTATAGAAGTGTAATATAAACAATGTGCTGTACGAGGTTAATAATCTGTCTACTCTATAGAAGGAGGCCTCTTATATAGGCTTAAAACTAGCCTATAGGTGTAGGGCCGGTTACTAGCTAATATCCCTCCCTTTCTTCGTATCTAACTAGACACGCTTTACATTGCGCGCTTAAAACAAACATGTATGCATCCTTAGCGTTCTTAGCTAAGGCTATTTTTAGAACTCCGCAATAATACCCCCGGGGTAGCATTAATCCTAGATACTATAATTATATAAAAACAACTTCCTAAGCAACACTATACAGACCTACTATTGCTTTAACGCGCCGTAATCCTTACTAGCAATAACCTTATCTACTAGTCGGCTCTCGAAATCTCCTCCGTATACGTTGAAGCTATTAGTACCGAAGTACTATCCCTCGTAGAAAGCTTAATTAACGAGGAGGTTAGTAGCCTTTTCCGTCGTAGCATTCTCCTAATTGTATAGATATTCCTTAAGTCCCTCGTTATTAAGCTAGAGGATCTGTTTAACTTCGTTCTAAATAACGTAACTTAACTAAGGAATCCTACTAACTAGGGCGTCGGAGATGCAACTAAGGCCTTCGACTAAGATAGTAGTAGGGAAGGGGAACGGTACGAAGGTATTCGAACCTAGAAGGGCGGTTAGATTGCGGTGCGCCTTAGCAACCTTAGCGACGGTTAAGTTGTCGTAACCCTCAATCTTAGTGCCGTCGATAACGCGAGAATAGCCTAGGTTAATTAATATGCGGTTGCTCTTAGTCTTTAGATTACTATATAGTAGGTATAGTATCTAAATAGAGACTTCGCATTCCTTTAGAGGGTTAAGGATCTACTCTGCCTTACGCCCCTTACTATTAGGCTAACTATCGAATATATAGTCGAGGTCGTCGCCGGTAAGGTACTTGTTAGTAAGCTTGCCGATCTTGCTTAGCGGGACTAGGCTACGAGCCTTAAGCTTCTTAACCTAGTTCGCAAAGACCTCGGGCTAATGTATGCCTTCGACAATAGTAGAGTAGCTAGTCTCATCCTTAGACATAAGACAGACCTTAATACGTAGGTAACTAGCACCCTCGCTAGCTGCGAGCTTAACTATATCTTATCCGAGACGAGTAGACTCCTTAGAAGGACAGTTCTCGTAAGTACCGCCAACCTTAAAGAACTTAGTAGGCTTAGGGACGGAGATAAGCTCGTATACGTAATTAGGTCGAAGGGCGACAGCTAGGAGCTATAAGGCAGGGTACTAGCGGACGATTTAGTTGCTTACACTATAAGTTTAAAGGGCATTGCGGCCTTCCTGCTTAGACTTAGGCATGTTACGTATATACTAAAGGTATATCTTAAACTCTTCCTATATTAGGTCGATAAGGAAAGGAAGATATGCTCTACGAGGCTCTTATAACTAACTAAAGACTTAAGGGAAGACGGCATTACTAGTCTAGCGAAAGCGATCGAAGGAGGTGCCTTAGCTAAGAATGCCGGTAACGAACTTGCTCTAGCGATCCGTTAGCGTAAGGGCGCGAGTAATAGTACTAGTAGGGTTAAACGCGTAGAGTCCTAGAGATATCGGGGCGGCAATAGGGCGTCTAGGAAACTAGTTAGTATAGGCCTAATTAGCCTTAAGGGCAGCGAAGGCGTCTTAATTAGGAACCTTACGACTAATCTTTAATAGGCGACCGACGAGGACAATCGCCTTAGTACTAGTATAGAGACTATAGACCTTAGCGGCCTTCTTAATATAGTTAGTATATATAGAGAACGGCTCTTCTCCTAGCTTACTAAGGTCGTCGAGCTGTTAATAGATAGATAGGGTAGCAGGAGCTTTGCCTATATCGGCTTTAGGAACTATATCGATCTTAGTAATAAGGTACGTAATAGAGTCGCCCTTATAAGAACTATAAATGTTCTTAGTTAATAGGATCGGCGAGAGCCCTCTATCTCTACGCTCGCTAAAGGAGCCTTCGGAGGAGACATCTTCTAGTAGTATATCTAGTATATTAACATCCGAGTTACTATAGTTAGTACTATAGTTAGTCCTAGAAGGGGCGCTATACTTCTTAGTAGCCTTGCGGAGGGCCTAGCGAGTATACAATGCCTTCTTACGCGCTGCTTCGGCCTTAGCGCGCTCGTCCTTAACTTCCTAAGGGACCTTATAGTTGCGGGTCGAGCGACGGTCTTAAGCCTACATCTCCGTAGCGAGCGCGAAACTAGTAGCCGTATCGGCCTCTATTTCTAGGCGAAGAGCCTTACGTTTAAGGATATTAACGATAGGAGCCTCTTAACCTTTAATAATAAAACCTATACTATTAATACGATAGCCCTTCTCTTTTAGTAGATCCTTAGTTATCTATATATTAAGATCGATCTAGACAATTGTATCGTAGTGCCGCTTCTAGTAGGATGTCGTAAAGTCGTTAAGCACAAAGGACAAGTTAAGTGACTACTTGCCTACCTTCTTACTAGCGGTAGATATACGATAGATTATAGTGCGGGAAAGGTGCTCGGCGCCTTAACGACGGACCTTATACTTATTAACGAACGAAGAGACCTACTTAGTACGCTCTTATCTACCGTAGGCGAAGTTAACAAGGCTCTTAGGAAGACTACTTAGTCCTCCCTAATATTCGAAGGCCTAGTCGAGGGTCTTAAAGCGCAAGCGAATCTAGGTACTAGCTGTCTCGAGGCTATAGACGATAGGAAAGGCTTGTTCGATATCTATATCGTTAAGGACCTCGCGCTTAAAGATACGCTTACCGATAGACTAACGTAAGTTGTTTATACCGTACGTAACTAAGATAGCAGCCTTCTTAATATTCCTATTAATAACGCGCAGTAGGGTACGAGCGTTCTAGATCTTCTCTTAAGGGTCTTTAAGGGCGGTAACGATCTAGAAGCAATACTCGAGACTAGTTATAGTAGCTAAGGCGCTATCGGAGGGGGCTTCGATCGGAACTAGTACGCCTAGGTTTAGGGCTCGTAGGTTGCTGCTACTGCTAGCACCTAGCGGATTTAGGGCGCCGGAAGACATCTTAGTCGACCGGAGCGGAAAGGAGTTAGTAACGAGCTTGCAAAAACGTTCGTAGCTTATTAATAATAATTAAAGGGTTTAGATAGAAGGAGGGGGAGGGGTAGGCGGTAGTAAGTTAGTTAGTATTCGAGTAGAAGAAAGAGCTTAGAAGGCTCGCCTTAAATAGGGTACGAAGGTAGCGTAGTCCGTATATTCCGGTAAAGCAAACGGATAACGATTATATATAGACCCTAAAAAGTAAAGCTATATACGAGACTCCTTTGTTAGTAGGGCGGCTAAAGTTTAACAATCGATCTAGCTAATTGCTAGTAGCGACTACGCGCCTTTATTAACCTCTAGCTTTCGTAGATTCCCGCGCACTCGAAATATAACTAGTTAGTTCGAGTACCTAGTAGCAATCTATAGTAGTAAGGCTAGCGGGACTAATAACACCCCCGGGGTAGCATTAGTTTTTCTCTAGAGATGCTCGGCAACTAGGAGCAAATCGCCTAGGCCTAGCGCAGCTTATATTAGCCTATAGCACTATCGTTGTAGATATAGCATTACCTTTTATAGTAGCAGGCATATAAACGTAGCCCGTGCGTTCTTCTTTCTTCTAGACACTAAGCTTAGCGGCCTAAGGTCCTTATTCTTAGAGGCTATAGGCCTAGGTTGCTACGTCTATCTAAGAGCTAGGAAGGGAGAGGGATCCTCCCTTTCTTAGTGTCCTACGTAACTAATGCTAATTAGGGTAGGAACAATCTCTAGCAGAGTACCTTGTTATCGTTGCTACTTAAGGATAGTTGCTAGAGTCTAGGAACCTAGAGGGAAGTAGTCCTAGAAGGGTAAAGGGTTAGGTTCGGCTATTTTCCTAATACTACCCCCGGGGTATTATTAGGAAAACACGCCTCGTATAGTTCTATCTAAGGAAACAAGAGCAAAGGAATAAAGTTACAGCAATATTAATCGAAAGCAAAGGCAAAGCAAAGGACAATAACAAGATAAACTAAAGCAACAAACGAGAGTATAAATATTAGTAGGAACGGATAGCAGGTAAGGACTAAAGGTATAGGGCGGCACTGTATTAACAGCGTAGAGAACGATTAACAAGAGCAAGGAAGCAACGTAGTAGAGGTAGATAGAGGCAAGGAAGAGCAAGCAATTATTTAGTCTCGGGGTCGTCTAGCTATAATTCTAGGCGGTCTTTATCGCTAGACTAGTTAGGTTCCTCGGAGTTAGAGTTAGATAGCTAGAAGTCTAGTTTACTATTAGAATCGGAATTAACATCGGAAACGCTCTATATATAGTTAATCCGTATATAACCCTCCCTTTGTTCTTAAGTCATTCCTAATAGCTTACTAAGACGAATCTAGGGATAGGCATAGTTGTTAGGCAGAACAGGATCTATAATAGCGGTAGGATCCTCCTTCCGATAGGCATCTAAGGACGGCAGAGGGTCTATAGAGGTACTAACTTCCTCCTCGGTTAGCGGAGGGCGGGCAGGTTTACGTAACTTAACGATCTTCTTTAGATTAGCCCGAGGGTAAGAGTGCTTCAAGGTAGTACTATCTAGCTCCTAAAGAAGGTATACGGAACCCGAGTAAAGGACCTCCTTTACTCTATAAGGACCCTTCTACTTAAAGGCTAGCTTATAGGAGTAACTATACTCTAGTTCGGACCGGTATAGAAGGACTATATCGCTAACCTTTAGAGGCTCCTAATTTATAGCATTATAGTTATTAAATCACTGCTTAGCCTCTTTCCGAAGCCGACGTTGTCGAGCAAGACCCTCTTAAGAAGTCGTAGTTATATCCTTAAGAGCCTTAGCCCGTAGGGCAAGAAGGTCTGCCCTAGTACGAACAGACCCCTAATCGTAAACGCCGTGCGTACGATAGGACAATTCAATAGGAAGAACGGCGTCCCTCCTAATTATAAGTTTAGCTAGTATAAGTCTAGTCGTATCGACAATAGTAGTTCGGTCCGCCTAGAGAAGGGCTAGGACGCGGGTAGAAATAGGAACTAATCTATCGCTACTATTAGTTATCTTAGACAGGGTATTAATTAACGACCGATAGCTGCGCTTAACAATAGCATTCGACTAGGGATAGTATAGGGAGATACGAACGTTCTTCGCCCCGTACAAAATAAGCAGCGCTTAAACCTCCTTAGCTATATTGTTCGTAGCGTTGTCTAAGATAACCTCGTAAGGTGTTCCCTAGCGGCAAAATAGATCCTTAAACAGGAAGGTAGCTATATTACGGGCATTAATAGCACCGCAACCTTTATAGAAATAATAGGCCTCCGGCTATCGAGAAAGACCCTCTCGAATAATATATAGGCTATTATTGCGGCTAAGATAGACCCTATCGCTATACTACCGCTCCCTAACTAACTAGGTAGTAGGGATACGTAGCTCTCCTAGACGCCGGTAGCTATTCCTAAAGTTACACTTAGGACAGCTCTTATAGTAGCGGGAGATATTAGCCTATACGCCGTCCTACTAGTAGCGTCGACGAAGGACATCGAAGGTGCCCTCCGCCGCCCGGTAGCCGAGCTTATCGTAAACAGAGCGAAGGATTTCTTATCGGGCTGCTAGATCGTTAATAATACGCTAGAGAGGTGCATTAACTATCGCTTATCGCTAAAGGATTCGATCTTTAACTAGGAATCGTCGAGAATAGCGAATAACCCGACGGTATTAACTCTTTAACAGACTAGGAGCTCTCTTCGTATAGGTAAGGAAGTAGGCGATATTATAGGAGTCGTCGGAGTAGACCCTATTAAGGATATTATCCCTACCTAGTTCGCCCGCCTTAGTATCGTCCTAGTCCTCGCCGTTAGTAGTAGGGTCTTCGTTAGGCTAGTTACTAGGTTAGTCGTCGGCAGTAGACTTAGTAATTACTAGCATAGCGTTAATATAGAAGGCAGTAAAGAAGGTACGGTTAATAACCGCATCGACATCCTCTTCTTCTATTATCTCGGCGATGTCTTCGTCTATAGCAGGCCTTCTAGAAAGGCTATCCGGTCTAGTATGCTTCTTACTAGGAATATAGAAGACGTCGAAATCAAACAAATAGATCTAGGCAACCTACCGAGCTATCGTAGAGTTAGGCAGGTCGGAGGCTATACGGTTAAGTTAATAGACTAGCGTCTAAGCGTCGACTTCTAGGCGAAAGAATACTCTAAAGAGCTAAGGTCGGAACTTCTTAAGAGCCTTATAGACACTAAGGCACTCTCGCTTACTAGTATCGTATCGGGCCTCGATAGGTTTCTATAGACCGGACTCGTACCGAATAGGGTAACGTAAGGAGGGCTCCTTACGATTACACTGCATTAGTATCTCGCCGTAGCCTTCCCCGCTCGAGTCGATAGCAATAATTAGTAGACCTGCGCCTTCCGAGTAGTTAATAGAGGTAAGCGTAGGCGCGCTAATAAGTACCTTAGTAACCTTATCCTTAGCGGCTTAGTAAACGGAGGTCTATTCAAATTCTGCATCCTTCTTAAGCAAGGCGTATAGAGGCTTGTATACTAACACAAAGTTCTCGACCTAGATACGGAAGTAGGAGACTACTCTAAGCTAGATCCGGACATCTTTCTAATAGGTAGGGTCGGGCTAGGATACAATCTTTAGGACCCGTACATTGTTAGGATAGCGGCCGTTCTTATTAGTTACAAACCCGACAATGTTTATTCGTTTATATAGGAGCTAAAGCTTCTCCCTATGCACCGTTAGGTTAGCTCGCTCTAGGTCGTAGAGGACACTATCGAGGTTCTAAATATATTCGAGAAAGAACCTACGGATACTAGGCTCCACTTCTTTATTATCGTACCTAGTTTTAGGGCCCTTAATACCGATATCGTTAAGGAAAGGCATCGCTATATAGGAGATATAGGCCGCGAGGACTTGGTTTATAATGCGAACGAACTAGGCTACGGAGTTAGTTGCCCCTTATAGAAGGGTAGTTTGTCTATATAGCCTAAGAGGTGTCTCGAAACTAGTAAGGTCGCGGCTATCCGGATAGAGAGGGATCTAGTCGTAGCCCGAGAAAACATTAACTAGTAAGGCTATAACATAGTTAGCAAAAGCTTCCGAGAACCTATTAGTCTCCGGAGGGAGGTTAGTATCTCTAATCGTAACTACGTTAAACTTTTATATAGCGTTAATTAGACGGTACTTCTTTAGTTCCCTAGGAGCTATCTTTTTCTAAACTAGGAAGTATAGGTTACAATACGAGGCATAGGAAGGCTCTAAGGTGCTAGCCTTTATACGCTACCGTATTATGTCTTTAACTATACCTCTTAGGCTTAGGTTTAGCTTAAACCCTAGGTAAGCCTAAGGCTTATACTCGATCGTTCGGATCCTCTATAGAGGGGCAACCTCCGGATTAATCCTGCCTAGATGCGTAAAGTTATATACTAATACGGCTTCGCGGTTATATAGAAGCTCGTATAGCAAATCTAGTTCAAGATCCGAAAGCTCGATGCTAGGTTTAATGTTCGCTAGTCTCTCCGGCGTTAGCCTCGATCCCTTAGGAATAGCGGAGAACTTTTTAGTAATGTACCTCTAGTCGTATAGACTATCCCTAGGTATTAATATCGCTTCGCGGTTAAGGCACTTTTGTCGCTAGTTAGGATTTCCGCTAGGATTAGACCTATCGGTTATATGCACGCTGCCCTTTACGGGCTTAATCTTATTAGCTACCCTCTTATATAGGGTATATATACTAACCGCTCGTAATACTCGAGCCCTCTCTCTTTAACGTTAGGCCCGGAGATTAGCGCAACAGAACAGCGCGTAAACTTTATTAGAAGTCTCCTTAAGTCGGTAGGTATGTAGCTAGTAATCCTAATTTATAATTCCGGCGAAAACGTTAGATTCCTAATAATACCCCCGGGGTAGCATTAGCTCGGCGCTCTAATTAGTTAGTTCGGATTCGGGCTCGGGTAGATCCGCTTCCGGCGGCGATACCTACGACAGTATTATTACCGAGATTCGTATACTAGGTTGTCGTTGCCGGGTTGTTATACTCGCTGTCGCTTCGAGTATTCGCCTCCTTAGTATAGAGCCTAGAAACTAGCCTTGTCGTACGGAGCGGCGCACCTCTAGATATAACCTATTTAAGCTATATTAACTTATAGCGTAGATTGCTAGTCTTATAACCGCGCTATAGCGTTTCCCGAAGAGCGCTTAGAAGCAGTAAGGATATCCTCGTAGGACTTATAGCTAGTATTTCCGACATAACTAGTAAACACGACTCGGTTGCCCTTCTAGTTAGCGATAGTTCCTTCCTAGGAGCCATCGTCGCAGTTGCGCTAGACACCCCGGGTTATACGAGACTATAGTCGACCTAGAATGATTAGCGTATTCGGGTTAGCGGCAATCTAGAAGGTAAAGGAAAAATATATACCGAAAGCGTCTACTATAACATTATAGTAGGCACCTACTAGCGCAACCTCCCTATTTACTCCCTATATACTAAGGGAAATATCTCTGTTTATTAGTAGTCGGAGCTGTTTAGCCTAGCGCTTACTTATAATAAGTAACTCTAAACTATTATTAAGCATTGCTAGCAACTACTAGCTATAGCTTCCAATAGTAACTTAAATATAGATAGCGGGAACGACGGCAAAGGAACGGGTAACTACGGAAAGGTCTACATTATTAGGGATAGAGTAAAGTTCCTTAGGTCGAGGAGGTCCTACTCGACCGATTTGTTAGCTAGTAAATCGGATAGCCTTAATAGAAACTAAAACCGAAGTAGAGTCGGTATTATTATTATCCCCTCGGCCTATCTCCTTAATCCCCTCTTCGTTAGTATTATCGATAGTCTCCTAGCTCTCGTAGGTTACTAATTCGCCTTCTACTAACTCCTAGGCCCCTAAAAATTTAGGAAGGAACTATAGGGAAGAGACGTCGATATAGTCCTCTTGCCCCTGTTTACGTCGGAGGGCTATAAGGTCTTTTATAAAGGTAGCATCGTTAGGAATCCGGCTCTAGAATAGGTTAGTAGGCAAACCGTATGCTAGAAGCTCCCCTATAGACACGTTAGACTTAAGGTCTAGGAACTATAAAGCCTAGAAGAGAGCATTTGCCTTTGTATCGTAAG